TAAAATTTCAAGAAAATTATGTTCAATTTTCTGTATATCCCTCCAAAAGATTTTCCACAATTCCAAGCCAAACTCCTCTGCTAATTATGATTCTAAGGGAATTAAAATTAAACATAGCCAATTTCAACCAATGCTTTAAAATGGTTGGAAGATGATACACTGACTGGAGGGAAATAAGCATTGGAACAAAAACCAAGATATCTTCTTGCCTATATCAACATTCTACTTTACTCCAGTCATATATTGAAGCATATTCCACAGGCCTTACAGGCAACCCTTAATCCAAAACAGGTCCATTGCAACAAATGACTCTGGACAAAGTACATCCTAACAACACAAAACAATTGTAACAATTTAAAGAATACAAAATAAATATATATGGCTGCTAAGTAAACACAATACTCATAGTGTTTAAATTCATTATTCTAATTTTCATAATCAGAACATTTGAAGTAGCACTTTTGTAGTTGGGAATTAAAATATTTTGCTTACCCTATTTATTGGAATCAGCTATATGTTAAGTATGAAACTATAACTTCTAAAATTATATACAGTATATAAACATTTTTCAGTTAGATGCTTATGTGATTTATAATAGCCAATTTTGTAGCCGATTGTAGAGAAAAGAGCCAAAAAGTTAATTATATTTTAGTTATAGCCTGCTTCAGTAATATTTAAGAACAACATTATGAATTTTGAACGTCTTTCCTACCAAGTATAGTACCCAATATAGCTATTGTTTGAATTCTATAAAGACGATTGGATTTCATATATAGAGCAATATTGATGTCCTGGGAGAAGTAGGTTAAATACTGATTTTCAGAAACAAATATCAGAAGCATATAAATATAATAAAATAATATATAATAAAACTCTTCAAGCAGTTTGCATCTCAAAAGGAACTTTTACTGAGAGACAGTGATTGCAGAGAAGTCAGGCAGCTATGAAATTCACACATGAAGCATTAGGCTAACTTTCCTTCAACCCCGACTCTAATGTCCCATGTCCATTGGTAGCCAATAACATGCTGCACAGGTGTTTTGAAAATTCCGAGGTGGGATGGTGAGAAGATGTCTTCATTGGAGCACCTTGAATACCAGACTGGAATCAGCTGAGAGGCAGCCTGTGTAGATGGCAGGTTCTCTTCCCTCAAACTCCCAAGCAGTTACAACAAAAGCAAACCATGCAAAGCATTCAGCCCACAAAGCCCCCTCTCTGCCTCAAAATGGCAGCGTTCCAACAGGAACCTGACATGCTGCCCCACCCTTAAAAGCAGGAGATCTGCACCTGGAAGAGAAAAGGGGGAAGAGAAAGGAAAGCAAAGAAAGGTTACAGTCATGTTGGTTTGTCAGGATATTGACCATGAAAGTGTTTAAGTAACTTAGGGGCTTTGACATGACATTTATCCTGGGTATTTTAGCACTGGTTCAGCAGAGAAGACTGGTCTGAGCTTTCTAAATGCCACCTGGCACTCCATGGTCCATTTCAGTGGTTGGCTCGAATGGCAGCATTCTGACAGGGACCTGACACATACGTCCCATTCAATATTTAGCAATAAATAGGACAATTGTCTGTGCATTTGCAGGAAATATAAGTTTCTTGGTTGATTATACACCTGGTAGGCTAGCATAAAAAAACCTCTATGAAAAACAGCTCTTGAGTTTTGTGTGATTGCGAATGAATTTTCTTCTTTAAATCAGCAGATGCTATTTGTAATAAAACCTACTAGATGTCACACAAGAGTGTTGTTTTGCTATTACATTAAAACATTGGGAAAATAAAAATGGAAACATTTCAAATGTATGGTACCTGCATTTCTTAAACAAGGCTTTTATTCAACAATTACATTTATTAAAAACTGAATCTTGGGAGTGTATACATGTGATATTCCCTAATTTCATTTGTAACTCTCTTGTTCTCCATCTCACCCACTTCCTCCTCCTCCTCCTCCTCCTCCTCTTCTTTTTTAATCTGTTAAGGCAGGGGTGGGGAATATGGCCATGCTGGCTTGGGAATTCTTGGATTTGAAGTCCATAAGTCATAAAGGGACCATTGTTCTCCACCTCTGTGTTAAGGAGAAAAATGCATAAAATCTTTTTGTTAGTAGTCCTAGAAAGCTTCAGACTGGAAGGACTTGTTTCTTAAAGTGTTTCTTTACAGTCCTTCTTTTATACATATTCCTCCAATCATCCAAGGAGAAGAAATGTATATAAATTGCATTGTTATGATGGTCATACTCTATTTACCTTATTATCAAGGCTGACAACTGCTACTGCTCTTACAAATTTAACATAGGACAAATTAAGGAAAATAATATGTGTGTTCCCCTAGTTTTGTCCCTTCTTCAAAGAGTTGTCTCAAAGGTTCAAGAGTATCAGTAAATTGGTGTCACTCTCCTCCTCTGAGTCTAGGACTTTTCGTCTCCTACCCTTCGCTGCACCCCTTTCTCCACCAGTGTTCCTCCTCAGGTGATTCTCCTCTGACTTTTCTCCTCGGCTGACACCCCCCCACCCATTCGCCCTGGGCCAGGCCCCTCCGTCCCACATGTTTCAGCTTGGCCGATTTGCTGAAGCATGGTACGTCCTGGGTTTTTCATCACCCAGGACAGTTAGCCACCAATCAATCAGCTAGCTGCCAATGCCAGCAGCCACAAGCCACGGTGCAGTGGTGGTGGTGCTTGGGGGAGGGGCTGCAGCCCAATGGCTTTAGGAAAGCCAAAAGCTTTTTAGGAGAAGGAAGGGGAGGGGGTAAGTAGGTAAGGGTAAGGAAGAGCAAGGGTGGATAGACACACTGGCTTCATCCAAGGTGGGAAGGGGAGAGAAAGAAAAGAAGGAAGGAAGGAAAGAAAGAAAGAGAAAGGGAGGGAAGGGAAGGGAAAGTGAACGAGATATGAATGGATGGCGGGAGGGAGGGAAAAAGGAGAGGAAGGAAGGACCACAAACACCTTGCAGCTTCAGAAGATACTTTGAAACAGCACAGCAATCCAGGGCTGGAAGGGACCTCAGAGGTCATAGTCCAACCCCCTGTTCCAGCAGAAGACCTTATGTCATCTGGGTTATTTTGGTATCTCTAACACAGAGGAGAAATTTCCAGAAAAGAGAAGGAGTTTACTAGGCAAGGCTGCCATGCAGAGGAAGGCAGAGATAGTCCTCGATTTATGACAACTGAGCCCAAAATTTTGGTTGTTAAGCAAGAGCTTTCACCCACTTTATGACCGGTCTTGCCACTGTTGTTAAGTGAGTAGTTGCAGCTCTTAAGTGAGTAACACAGTCGCTAAGTAAATCTGGCATCCCCAAATCTCCGTTGTAAAGTGGGTGAAAACTCACTGAACAGCTGTCTCACTTTGCAAGGAAAATTCGGGGAAGCCAGTTTCACTTAGTGACTGTGTGACTCACTTAAGAGCTGCATCTACTCACTTAAACTGTGGTAAGACTGGTCGTAAGGTGGGTGGAAGCTCACTGAACAGTTTTCTCTCTTTGCAACGGAGATTTGGGCCAATCTGAGTCTTTATTTTTTCTTTCACAATGCAACTGTTGTGGCCAAAATCCAACTTGCTACAATTTGCTTTTTTACAAATTATTTCAGAAAATTAATTGATAAATCCACACAAAAGAAGAACAATTATTCTAGTACAAAAGAAGAACAATTGTTTACTATGTACGTTGTTGGTATTTTAAGAAAATGAATGAGTAACATTTTAGATAGAGATTTGAGAATACTGCTGCTGCCAAGGTTATGCCCAGAAAACAGTTTCAAATGTGTCAAGATACAAAACCTTGTCTGAACAGTATAAATAATAGACAAGAGAGTTGTGTACATTCATCAAAAGCATGTCCTGTACAGTGCATTTCCACTCATTTTTCTGTCAGTTGTCGCCTACAGCAATCATTCCACCAGAGGGCGCTATCCCTCTTCTTTTAGGCTTTTCAGAAAGTCCAACTCCATGTGGCTCTCCCTTCAGGGTTTCAATCCAGATGGACTGTATAATACCTATGACTTAACTTTCACAAATACTATACTGCCTGAATTTTCAATTATTCCTTTTCTGCACTGAGCAATGGATGGAAACTAATCAATGAAGAAAGCAACCTAGAACTAAGAAGAAATTTCCTGACAGAATCAATGTTGTGAATGCTCCAACACTGGAAGTTTTTAAGAAGAGATTGGACAACCATTTGTCTGAAATGGTATAGGGCAGAGGTAGGGAAACTTGGCTCTTCTATCACTTATGGACTTCAACTCCCAGAATTCCTAAGTGAGCCATAAAAGGTTCCCCATCCCTGGCCTGCTGGTTTTTCAGTTGTGGGGGAAATCAATTTTTTACTTGAATGGGACTGTTTAATATACAAATGTAGGACATATAAAGAATATGTTTAATATACAAGTGTAGGACATATAAAGAATATGTTTAATATACAAAGGTAGGACATATAAAGAATATGTTTAATATACAAAGGTAGGATATATAAAGAATATGTCCTACATTTGTAGATTAAACAGTCCCATTCAAGTCAAAAATTGGTTTCCCCCACAACTGAAAAACCAGTAGGCCAGGGATGGGGAAACTTTTATGGCTCACTCAGGAATTCTGGGAGTTGAAATCCATAAGTGATAGAAGAGCCAACCCTACCCCGGTATAGGGTTTCCTGCCTCAGCAGGGGGTTGGACTAGAAGTCCTCTAAGGTCCCTTCCAGCTCTGATTCTATTCTATTCTATTCTATTCTATTCTATTCTATTCTATTCTATTCTATTCTATTCAATTCTATTCTATTCTACTTTTGATTATAAGACTGTATATAGAGATTTTCTTTTTTTTTTAGTTATGGTATGTAATGGTATGTAAATTAAATTATTTTAGGTGTCATATGAATTCCTATCATATCAGGAAATCTCCAGCAAATATTATATATCAGCTTAATTTTTATCAGCATCATGAATTTTAGAACAGCAAAACAGTGAACAGTCATTGTTCAATTGTACTGCAAAATACAAAACAATTCTAGCATCTTATCATTACTAAAATGATCTAGTGGAAACTAAAGCATAGCCAATTAAAAAATGACATAAGCATCATTCTTCATTAATTCCAGACATCTTTATTTTAGATTAATTATAGTTAAAATGTACATTCTAAACTTTAATTTAAAGTTCAAATATAGTTAAAAAGTAGACTTTGTCCTTGTCAAGGAATTATTTTAAAATGAAGGGGAAAAATCTTGTCAACCTGGAACTTGTCAACATTAGAACTTGATGTTCCAAACAAAAATCTTAGTGAGGCCTTTCTTTCTATTAAAGTCAGTTCCTGAGTTCAGAACAGATTTGGCTGTTAGCCCAAGAAAGCAGTCTTTTTGGCTATGAGTCTCCAGATATAAATTCAATTATTGTTTAATTGTCCAAAATGATGTGTTTCCAGTTAAATGCAATATTGGCTCCATGAGTTAACATTTCAATTGGTGGATTAACCATCTGCCATCTTTTCTCCTCTTTTGTCTCTCTGTAGGAACACATGGCCAGAGATGGTACCTAATAAAATAGAAAATTCAAGATGTGCATGAGAAGGGATACAATAATTTGAAGATGAGCAAAAAGAAGCTCTATATATGGCAACATGATAATACTATCAAGTAGTTTTCATTATCTTTCCATTTGAGTTAAGGATTAGGCACTTGAGACTTTTTAAGGATCCCTAGAAGGAAGAGAGAAACTATAACCTTGTTTCTTGCCCAATAGTTAAGAAGATTGAAAACAAGAAATCCAGAATCCTCTGAGGTCTAAATATGGATCATCAATGTGAAAAAGCACCATTTGAATGACTTTGATCTAATTACTCTCTCTCAGCACAACTCACCTTACAGGACTGTTGTTGTGGGAAAATAGGAAGAGGAAGAAATATTAGGTATGTTTTGCTATGTTGAGTTATTTATAAAAAATGAAGGATAAAAACAAGTAAATACATTTGAAAAACATGAATCAGGAACCTATGTCAGCAATATAAGGCAGTTCAGACCTTACACTGGTCTCCCTGGTTTATTTTCATGCGTAGTACTGTATTAAAGATACTGCTATCCAGCTTATGTTGTTTCTATCCCTTTAAGAAAAAGGGACTTTGCTTTACTTCAGAAATTGCCAAGGGTAATGCCTGGTATTTCCTAAAAGGTAAGATAAGAAATCATAAGAAAAGCTCTCCCTGAAATCTTTGAAATTTCTTGCAGGATGGTTAGGTACCTCAATCTAGCGCAGGGCTGTCAAACTCCCGGCTCATGGGCTGGATGCATCATGTGCTGGCCATGCCCACACTAGGTTTAGTGAAGGGGGAACAAGTCTGCTGTGACAACATGAGTTTGACACCCTGCTCTAATGCAAAGCAGTTGTTCATATTTTGAAAAATAAACATCGAAGTTCTCTTGGCCCTGGTTAAGGCACCAGGCTAGAAAGCAGGAGATCATGAATTCAAGTCCAGCCTTAGCCATAAAAGCCATCTGGGTGACCTTGAGCTAGTCATTCTCTCTCAGCCCAACCCATCTGACAGGGATGTTGTGGTGGAGAAAATAAAAGAAAGAAGGTGTGTTGGATATATTCCCCCCTTGAGTTATTTGTAAAAATAATAAAGTTGAGATAGAAATAAATATGAACCTCAAGACTCCATAGGTATCTAGACTAGGAATGATGCAAACTCTAATAATTCAAAACCTTTAAATGTTGCCTAGTTGGTGAAGTTTGAATAATAGATATAAAAAGATTGACTGACAATGTTAAATTATGAAGAACTAAGAAAAGGCAAAACTAAATATGACAGTTATAATGGCAGTGTACAATGTCTTACCCTTTGAACAAATTTAGCGAGTTCACTGCTTTCCCTGGTAGGCAGACCCAGTAGCGGCCGAGTGAGGGAATCCAGAGATGAGCAATGACCAATAATCAGAATGGTGCCTGCAGACAGAAATGGGATTTCTTGAGGTGTCATATTAAGGTATTGAATATGAACTCTTCTAGACCTGTTTTCTCCAATCTGTGGTGTAGAAAAATATTGGGTGTCCTGGCTAGGCATTTTTGAAATCCCAAATTCTAATCCATTTATACCTTTTTAGCAACTGTGGGTCATATTTACTTTTCAAAGTCTGGAGGTTTAAATAGTGCAGTATCAGCCCCACTCAGCAGACTGGACTAGGGAATCAACTCGAGGAAGGCTAAACTACTTTTATTCAGATTGGCTGTGAAAGCAGAATCTTGCAAATCTGATTGTGTTGCATCTCATCCCTTTCTTATACTTTAGTGATTCAGGGTGAATCCAGTCTGCCTGGGCTATCTTTGAATGTTATCTTATTATAGACTTTAAAAATGCTCCAGGCACCCTCTCCACAGGCAATGGGTTCATGGGGCTTGTGAAAACTTGGAGGATTTTAACTCCTTTCTTTCTTGTTTCTTTCTTGTTTTCTTTCCTCATAGTTCTAGATATGTCCAGCATTTCTTTCATTTTCTTCTGTTTCCTGACAAAAACTAGAAGGAAAACACCCTGCTATCGTTGATGTACAAATTTTAGTGGTGCCCAAATTTTAGGCACAGGAGGTCAGAGAAAGTTGCCTACCCCAATAGAGGAGAATTTTCTACAGCAAAGGTTTGTTTGCATTTTAATCACTGACTGAAGAATAATAAAGGTTTACCTTCTGATGAACAAGTATCAGTGATCTGTTTTATACTTGAAGAGCATCTGTTAATATAGTCCTCATAGCTTTCAGACGGCATCAAAGAAGAAGAAGGAAAGTGACATCTGTTAACAAAACAATCCACTTGGTTAAAATTTGATTTATAGCAGGAATGGATAATTGGAGTCCTTGGCCAGTAAACAGTTTTTTAAAGAGCTGCTGATAGAAAGAGAGAGAGAAACTGATTGTCCTACTGAGATCCTATAGGATTTGCTTCTGAAAATTAGCAGCACAACTGTTTGCCATTTCAGTTGTTTGCCTCACTATACGCTTAGAATATTTTTTATAATTTTTAAAAAAGTTTTATTCATTTTATTAATATAATATATAAAAATTCAATTTCAATCAAACAGTGTGTTGTCTGGGTACAATTGTTTTTAGGCGATCATAATCAATATGTTTACAATGGCATTTATCACAATAACATTAATACTGTGGTAACAATAATATTTTGTTTGTCCATTTTAACAAATTTCCATTTTAACATTTATCCTTTTTATGTCCCTTTCTTTCTAACTACTGTTTTTATTGTCTAGCCATCGATAAAATGAGTCCCATGTCGAAAAGTATTTAGTTTCTTCTTTATCCTTAATAGTAAGCATTAGTCTATCCATTTCTGCACATTCTAGTATTTTCTTAATTACATTCTCATCAGTCGGGATCTCATCAAACTTCCATTGTTGAGCGTATACTATTCTAGCTGTGGTTAGTACATGTAAAATCAAGTATATCGTCTCTTTATCATATTCTTCTGGTAGAATGCCCAATAAGAATATTTCTGGTTTCATGTTTATATGCTGCTTTATCATTTTTTCCAACCAGGTATGTCTTTTCGTCCAATATTTTTTAGCTTGTGGATATGTCCACAACATATGGTAATATGAACGAGGTGTTTGATTACATTTCCAACATTTAGTGGATCTATCTTTATTCATTTTCACCAATCTTGTTGGCGCAAAGTGCTATCTATAAAACATTTTATACAAATTTTCTTTATATGCAGTTGACATAGTCAGTTTTACATTTCTATACCACAGTTTTTGCCATTTGTCTAGTTCTATTGCATATCCAAAATTTTAGCCCAATCATTGTATCCTTTACCTGCTCACTTTCAAGTTTAATACCCAGTAAATAACAATATATTTATCAATTTTTCATCCGTTCCAGTTAATATCTGGTCCAATTCTGTTAAAACCACACATTTTAGCATCTTTCTTGTATTGAGATTGCATCTGCATTTGTAGCCACCATGCAATGTCTATCCCTTGACTACTAACTTCCTGCTTGGTTTTTAATTCCCCCCTTTCATTCAAAATATCTTTATATCTTACAATTTTTTCCATATTAATAACATTTGGATGTATCAATGCTTTCATTGTGGAAAGCCAGACTGGTGTTTTCAAATAGTGTTCTTTAATTTTAAGCCATACTGATAGCAGTGCATTTCTAACGTAAAGTCTTTGAAAATAACTATGTATCTTATTCTTCCTGTACCATAGGAAGGCATGATAACCTAGTTGAAGGTCATGCCCCTCTAAAGTTAATAATCTTTTATGCCTCAAATTAATCCATTAAGCCAAGTTAATATCGAGGCTTGGTAATACAATTCCCAATCTGGCAGCCCAAAGCCCCTCTTTTTTTAGAGTCTTGCAACATTTTCAAACCTATTCTTGCTTTTTTCCCTAGCCAAATATATCTTAATATTATCTTAATTGCTCAAAATATTTCCCCCCCACACTATTATTGGAATTGTTTGGAATAAATATAATAACATTTGTAAAATATTCATTTTAATAGTAGCTATTCTTCCTATTAATGACAATTGCAATCTTTCCATTTCTCCATATCTAATTTAATTTGCTGTATCAGTTTCATATAATTATTCTCTTTAATTGTTGCACATTTTGTTGTTTACTATAATCCTAAATACTTCACTTTTTTGACTATCTGCATATCAATTCTTTCCATCAACACTCTTTTTTGTGTATCTGTGAGATTTTTAACTAAGATCTTTGTCTTGTCTTTATTTATTTTCAGTCCAGCAACTTCCCCATACTTTTCTATCTTTTTAATTAACCTTGGTCCAGTTTCTAATGAGTCTTCTAATATAAAAACTAAGTCATCTGGGAGCAATGTGTCTTTAGTAGGTGTTAAATACCAGGATACTTTCACTGTGGGGGAAATACTTTTTATAAATTCTCCCTCTGAATCCCCATGCTATTCTCTTATACAATGTGGTTTTGAAATATTTTGGATCATCACTCATCCATTTTAGGTTAGGGGGCAAGACTTAAATCTTTGCACCCCACCCATAAAACAATGCATGTTTTTTGCTTGTAGCAACTATTACATTTGGATCATTTGAATATTGTTGCTGAGCTCTCATTATGGCTTGTAAAGTCATCCTAGTGGCCAAACTTAATTTTTACCTTAGGACCTTGCTTCAACCAGAAGAACAAAGAAGTGCCAGGGGTCAGGAAAAAAATATATAGTTTTGGTGTAATTTAATTTATATAGCATTTAATTAACATTCAGCTACATTTATTTTAAATACAGTTAATATTCTCTTATCTTTTTTATTACAGCATGTTAAAGATTGCCAATTTGGAAGGACTCTGGTGCTGTATCTGTGTCTTTTAAGGGTTGTGTGTGACTGATGCTGAGCTTCACATTTACATTTTGTGTCCTTCTTGATGTACAGTACATATGGAAATCTCATACAAGTGGGCTTCCATAAAGGAAGCAACAAATGAATTCCTGTATGTCTATGAATGAAGGATTCTCATCCACTGGATGATTGGATTGCTGCACTGGCATAAACTCCAGCTTTTGAAATTGGATTGGCTCTCCTGAAATCTAAGATGCATGGAAAATTATGATCCAATTTCTTTTTCTTTTTTGAAATATATTGAACTTCATAATGATGTGGTCATTTCCTCCCCAAGTTCTCGTTGCTATAACCTCTTCAAATAGCACTTCCCCATTGGTTAGGAGCAGATCAGTGAGAGCTGCTACTGATGAATCTCCTTTAGCCTTTTGGAAAATAAGGTAAGAAGAGCACTGAAGAATTGCTGGGATCTTCCAGTTTTGGCCTACCTGATTTTCTTGGAGATGCTTGTAATGTTAATTTAAATGTAGTTGAAGTCTCTCATTATTACTATGTTTTTTTCTTACTTGAAAGTTCTATAATCTGGTTCAGAAGGATATTCTCTAGGTCTTTTGGCTGGATTGTTTATACCCTACAAATATGCCTTTATTTCTTCTTTCCTTATATTCTAACTCAAATGCTCCAACTAGACCTTTTGTGCTCATAACCCTGAATCTCAAAAAATATGTGCACTTCCTTCATATATAATTCCTTTTATCCAATCTAGTTATACACTTCATTCCTTACTTTTCATTTATGGGCTTGATCCTATAACATTTCAACAATACCTGCTAAATCATGTGTACCTTGCTGCATTAAAACTCCCAGTTATTCCTGATATAATTTGACCTGTTTCTTATTATTCTTTACATACTCATTATTGGGTGCCACCCTTTGCATATGCCTCCCAGTTCCAGTATATGATGTCACACTTTTTCCAGAACTTTCTTATCCCAACCCCAAGAATTCAGTTTAAAATCCTCTGGATTGTTTTGCAAATCACCTTCCAAACACGTTTTTCCTCTTCACGTGAGGTGTAGTCCATCTCTTTTGTATCTCACCTCTTGCAGCAACTGCCATGTCAGAAATGTATTCTAGGATGAAAGGACCTAAACCATTCTAGTTGCATCTTCTGACAATCCATTTGTTCAGTTCTAATATTTTATCTCCTGCTTGATCATGTCTTTGGATAGAAAGGAGGAAAAAAAAAGCAATTGTATCACCTTTCACTCTTCTGCCCAGAGCTTCATAATCCCTTGTAATATCTTCAAATACCTTGTATTTGTTTCCACATGGATCAGTAAAAATGAATATTTGATGAGGTTTGGGAATCTTTTTGGTACAGTCCAAATTGTCTGCTCCAGGAAGGCATCAATTTCCTTGTGATGGATTATCTAGCCAAGATATTGTGGCTTCAACCCTTCTGAGCAGGGAGTCTCTGATTATTGCCATCCATTACTCCCTGTTTTGGGTTTAGGACAGGAATCCTTCCCTTTTTGAAGTTTATATTTCTCACTCACTGAGGTCTGTGGCAGCTGTTCTTCATCCATGCATCCATAAACATCATTAGCAGGGAGGTCCTTATTCTGAACCTCCAAGGTGTAAGAGCACTTCTTGACAGCTTTGAAGGTTTCTGTCGTATTCCTCAATTTCTTTCACGTCCTCTGTCTTCCTGTAGGTGTCTTGGTGTTCTTGTCTATATAGAAGTGCTTCCTGTCTAATCCAAGAATTCTCCATCTTCCTTGTTAAGCTAGGAGGTGAACACTGTTGCCTTTAGCTTCTTCACCCTATCTCCAGAGCAACAAGCAGCCAAAAGCACTTTCCTCCATCTCTATGTTCCTCTGATGAAGAACAAGAAAATCAATTCCGCTCCTTGATCTCCCTTGCCAACTAGTTATTGCACAAAAGCACAACCAGCATGTAAACAACTAACACACAGTTTTGCTCTACCCAACATTATTTTAATACTTAAAGATCATATATTTATAGATTTGTTTGGGGTATGGTGGATATGTGTTTGCTATGTGATTTAATATGTAGATATTTAAAAAAACAATGTGAAACCTTCCATTATTAGTTGCAACCATGAGGAATATTTATTCACTGAAATGTGCATATGCTTTGGAAAGAAATATCCAATTGGTACATTAAAAAAACTACAAAGGAAGTACAAATATAATTTTAATGTCATATGTAAATTTGGCACTGAATTTTCAATGCTAATGACAAATGTCAAGAGAAGGTAACAGCATTTTCAACTATATCCTGTTTATTTCACACTCCTTATATAGTTTCAGAAGATACAATAAATATTATTTCAGAAAACATTTCAGGTGGTATCATTGTTTAAAATGCCAGTATCATTTTGACTAAATAAAAGCAAAATGCTGCTGCTAACAACCTTGCAGAGGAACATAATTCATTGCTGAAGTTGTCTTTCCCTTTGCAATACGTGTTTAAACCAACAAAACCTCAATTCACTTCTGTCACTTAAGCAATTTTTATAATTTCAGCGTCGATATAAGAGATATTTCAAACTCTGAAGTGTACTTTGCTGCAATCAGTCAACAGCTAACATTACTTCCTGTTCTCTTTGTGGGTTTGCAAATGTTTGCAAAAACTGTACTGAACCACAGAACTAAGTTGCTGTGGAAAATAAGGAAACAGTATGGCTAGTTGTAGAAAGCAAATCATTTCTGGCTGGACTAAGTCCATATCAACATATATGATAATGAGTTATTATTTGTCTGAAAAGTGCCTTAAAAATAGAATCTAAGTTGTGTGCTTTTTAACTTAAAAAATCTTGTTGCATTGTTCAGTGTGGCTCTTGGTTTTACTCCCAAAGTTGCTTCTTAATTGGTTTTTAAAAAAATCCTCACAGAGGCTACCTAAAATAGCATAATAGCTTTGTATGCCCCAGTGAGAATTATTGGCACATGCTATTTTCAAACTGAACTTTGATTTATGAATAATGCCATTCATTCCCTTGCATAAAGCAATTGCCTGCTCACAGAAATCATTGGCATTGCTGCTTCATCAGGAAGGCATTGCATTGGCTATTAGAATAAAAACTGCGTGCATAGGAGTAGTGTATATAAGCTCCAGAATCTAAGATTTTGAAAGTTCAGATTGAATGCATTTTTCACATGACATCTTTTTCTAGCTATTACCAGTGCAGTGCATTGAAGAAATATGTACATAAGATATAAGGCCAACCGCCTTCTTGTTTAACAGTTTACCCCTAGTCCTCAGTTGCATAGAAACTAGGGATAATTATGTCATTAGTTTCTGTACTTAAACACGCAATCAGCAAAACTAGACTGGATTCAGCTTCTAATCGATGTTGTAACTCTGACTGGTCAGGGCATAAATCCAGGAAAATCCACTAAGGCGTCTTCCAGTTATTGACCACGAGTAGCAGCTGATTAGAAGATCAGAAGGGCATTATTGTGCTAGAGGGTGGTGAGGATAAGCCAAGAGATTGCATTTAAAGTTAAATGTAAGTTTTAGCTATCTGAATTTGTAACACACCACAAGTGACCCCACCCTGATTAGTTTTATTTGACAAGACTTCCAAAACTTTGGGTGGGTAATTTCCCTTTAGTTACTCCCCATTACACTGACATAGTCAGCATATGAGAAACATATTCTGAACAGCAACACCTACTTGTATGTGGTATCTATGCTGTAACCAAGCTCATTCAGTTCTTCTTCTGACATAAAAGATGGAACAGTTGTGCTTGCCTCCCATTTAGTCCATTCAAACAGTCCAGGTTCTATCCGAATTTTAGCTTTCTGTTCTATCCGAAGCCCTGTAATTGGAAAACATAAAAATAAAATGATCTGATTCTTCAGATCTGATTCCTTCATTCAATAAATATCTAGTTTATTTAGCTTATAAATTCAAATTAAAAACAAAGTAAACATTAAATCTAAGAAGGAAAGAAAATCATAGATGAGTATGATACTTAAAAGGTGTAGACTTGATCTAAAATGGATCTTCTCTGAAGCAACCGAAGATAAAGCAAGATGGTTTTGAAAGTTCCCATTTACTCAGAAGGGCAGAGAGAATTAGAAATAATTAGTTAAAAAGGATATACTTCTGTCCCCTTCCCCTATAAAAGAAAAAAGGGGAAGGGGGAAGGGGAAAGCATAGTTTAAAGGCAGAGCTTCAATTACAATGATTAGGAGGAGAAATGTTTAACAGATGTATCAAGAATGCTTTTTTATAAGCTGCTTTTATTGGCAGCCATATTAGTGGAAGAGTAATGTGAATTTCTTGTCCAAACCAGAGGAATAACTTCCTTGAATTCCAATCCTTTGCATACCAACATTAATGTATCATTGGAGATGGCTGGGATGAGGGTACATAAATTATGCTAGGTAGGAAAAAAGGAAATGATCTTGTAGTAACAGGAATGAAAATTGGTAGAGCAGCAAACCTGGACTATTCAATAAAACAACTGCTTATATTGAAAAGCCTTACCTTCTAATATATGATAAGCAGTTTGAATACAGTGTAATGCTGGAGAAGAGTATACACAGCCAACAATCACTTCTTTTTCTAACAAGGCTTCTCCTAGTAGTAGAAAATATTAATTTTTCTTTTCTTTTTTCACACAAAAAGGGGATGGGTGCAAATTAATACATTTTCAAGAATATCAGTTGGAATTGTTTCAAACAATCAAACTGCAAACATTTAATCAAGTTCTGTACAGGTTTAATGTGGTCCCTTAGTGGATTCCATCCTCTTCTTATATACAAACACTCTTATATACAAGCACCCACCCACAACCCATTTCAAAATGAAAAGAAGCTATTAGGTTTTAATAAGTAGATCATTAAAAATGTAAAATGTAAAAAATGAGTAATAATTCATAGTCTATGCAATATGAGTATGATCGAAAATCATGATTCCTTTACATTGTTTCTAAGGATGTCCTAATGCTGTTCAGGCATTATTCTTCCATAGGTAACTAAATGTAGAATTAAAATACATTTCCCCAAAATATACTGACTTTTATGACCAAGACTTTTCTCTAAGATTTAATGTCAGGTGCATCCAGTTTAAAGAGGCTTACAATTATGACATACGAATTTAAAAAATAAATTTGTATGTACATTTGTATGGGTGTTATATCAAGAAAAGCCAAATAATAATTTCTGAGATTTTAAAACTCCTCATTTTTCTTCCTCAGCTGCTGATTAATATACTAAAAAGCTTACCAGTCAGTCTAGATTGAAATGTGCCACAGCACGACAAAGGAGGATCATATTTATAGCGTTTAATATAACCATCTTGATTTGGTAAACTGGAGGGGAAATTGAGGTCTCGTCGATAATATTTTCCTGAAACAAGATGACATTAATCTTATTTTTATTTAATTTTGTTAATTATCCAGCTGATCTTAACATGCTGCTCTGCCTGGTAAGATTATTGCTTAGTTTTTCTTCAGAATTTTTGAAGGAGGAAAATGTTTCCAATACAACGTTCTTCCGTTTGGCCTACAGGGGGCCCCTGCAGAAATAATGCAAATGATAAACCAGATGTTGCATGAACATTTATACAAAGGGGTTTTGGTTTATCTTGATGATATTCTTATCTACACGGAGACTCGTTTTGAACATGTGAAACTAGTGCGGTCAGTTCTGGAAAAACTTTGATCTGCTGAACTGTATGCAAAGTTGTCCAAGTGTGAATTCCACCAGGAAAAAATTGATTATTTAGGCTGTTGCATATCACATGATGGCATAGAAATGGATCCGGGGAAGGTTCGTGCTGTTTTGGAATGGGCCCCTCCCAGCACCAGGAAACAACTTCAAAGTTTCTTGGGATTTGCTAATTTTTACTGTCAATTTATCCCTGCTTTTGCGAAGATTGCAATGCCTATCACAAATCTCCTAAAAAACAAAGGGGAGGTGAAACCGAAGCCTAGTAAACCACTGGAGTGGTCCATGGAGTGCCAAGCTTCTTTTGAGAAGCTGAAATGACTGTTTGCTGCTGAACCAGTCCTCAAACACCCGGACATGGACGCTCCTTTTGTAATCCAAGCCGATGCGAGTGATGTAGCAGTCAGGGTGGTGTTACTAAAAGCAAATGAGATGGGGACTCTGCAACCATGTGCATATACTTCCCATAAACTAACTAAAACCGAAAGAAGATGGGCCATATGGGAAAAAGAAGCTTTTGCAGTTCTCTGGGCTCTGTTAACCTGGAGGCATTTCCTAGAAGGTGAAAAACACCCATTTGAGGTGTGGACGGATCATAAAAATTTGGAGGCTTTGAAAATGCCTCGGAAGCTGCCTCCCAAGCATGTTTGCTGGGTGCAGTACTTTAAACGCTTTAATTTTTCATTGAAGTACATTCCAGGGTGGAAGAACTTCATGGCGGATGCTTTATCTAGATTACCTCAATCTAATAGTGCTTGCCAAGAAGTGGTACAGCCTATTGTCCCAACCAAACAGTTGGCGGTTCCAGTAGTTACCAGAGCCCAGAAAAAGAAGGAGGTTGATTTATCAAATGATTTAACTGCATTTTTAGTGATGATATTAGGTTATACAATTATTGATTGATAATATGAGCTATTATGTAATATAATTATACTAGTGACTAGGAAATGGATGCACAAAAAAAAGTGGTAAACCAATCGATGCACTGTATGTAAATTCATGAAGAAGGATATTTTTATGTTTTTTGTGGTATGTTTATGTTTATCTTGTTATGTATGCTTATGTTTATCTTGTTATTAAAAAAAAATTTATATATAAAAAAAATGATTTAACTGCACAATTAAATGAAGCTCTAAAACTTGATGATTGGTTCCTTGCTCACTCAAATAACTGTATGGTTAGGGATGGATTGGCATGGGTGGGGGCCAAATTATATGTGCCAGCAAAGCTGAGAAACCAAATATTACAGCAAGCTCATGACTCTAAAGCTGCTGGACATTTTGGATTCGTGAAGACCTTACACTTGGTTAAAAGGCAATTTTGGTGGCCTACCTTGAAAAAGGACATTGAGACCTATGTGACTAGCTGTCCTATCTGTGCCTCAGCCAAACGACCTCCTGGTAAACCAGCAGGCTTACTACAAAATGTGGCTAGACCAACTGCTCCATGGAAGGAAATCTCTATGGATTTTATAGTGGAATTACCTGAAAGTGGGGGAAAGACAGTTATGTGGATAGAAACAGATTTGTTTTCCAAACAGGTACATTTCATATCTTGTGCAAGAATCCCATCTGCAAAAACATTGGCTAAACTGTTTATTTTACATATGTACAGGTTACATGGGGTTCCTGAACGCATAATCTCAGACAGGGGTGTCCAGTTTACCTTAAACTTTTGGAAGGAGTTCCTGAAGTTATCAGGCTCTGCCCAGGGCTTAAGCTCTACACACCACCCACAAACCAATGGGGCTTGTGAGAGAACTAACTTGGTATTGGAACAGTATCTTAGATGTTATATAAATTATCAGCAAGATGATTGGGTGGACCTACTGCCATTCGCTGAGGTGACATATAACAATTCGGTACATAGTAGTACTATGGTTTACTCCTTTTAAAGTGGCTTTGGGACAAGACTTTGTACCTATACCTGAGCTTCCACAGGAGAAACCTAACATTCAGTCATTATATGAATGGATAACACTGCTCCAGCTTACCTGGCCGGTTACCCGTAAAGCATTAGATGATGCTCATCAAGCCCATAAAAAAATTGCAGATAAAAAGAGAACTCCACAAAAACCATATCAAGTTGGTGACAAGGTCTTTTTATCCACCAGATATTTGCAGACCACACAAAGGTCAAAAAAGCTTGGACCTAAGTATGTTGGACCTTTCCCAATTGAACCAATTGTGAACCCTGTGGCAGTCCAACTGAAATTACCTAAAACCCTCTGACAGATCCACCCTATGTTAGTTTATGTTAGTTTATTAAAACCTGAACATACCTCCGACTTGAGGCTGACTCAAGTTGACCCCGCTGTGCCATTGCTAATTGAAGGTGAACAACATTTTGAAGTTAAAGAAATTGTGGATTCTCGAAAACAAAGGGGTCGACTCCAATATTTGGTTGTTTGGAAACGTTTTCCTCCTCAGTCCGAATGGGTGAATGAGAAGGATGTTAGAGCTCCTAAGCTTATCAAGGCATTTCGTACTAAATATCCTGATAAACCCTAAAATATAGTATTATATTGTTACATGTATATTTTCTGTTATCTTCTATTTTTATCTTTTATAGGACTAACGCCTCTGTTGCAGGAGGGCCGAATGTCAGCCTTCAAGATTTTCTTCTTTTACTTTGCATCTTTCGGCTGTCATAAGTAACGGGGGGAGGAGGGGGGACATGGCTATGGGAAGCGAGCTGGAGGTGTTACAAAACAAAACTGTTTAAGTTGGGGGGGGAAGGTTCTTGCTTAGGCTTCTATCCTATGCTATGCGCAGCCGCAACTCTTTATCAAAATATGTCAAGGTCAATGGACAGAGGCCTCATCACCACCTGGAGATGCCCACATGATGCTATACACAACTTTTAATTGGATGAGCCAATTGAACTATTGGGGGTGGGAACGTTGCCATCACTTTGTATATGTGATTTACGCACTCATTTTCTCAGATTCAGAATTCTTTTGTTGCTACCACTTGACTTCCAGTAAAATATATCTTTTCTCTAATTAATGGAGTCTAAGTATTTCTTTCTTGGATTTTGAATGGAGCACCGTCTGACATTTATAATCCCAATCCTTTCTCCAAATGTAAACTATCATCAAAATCTCCTGGTGAATGGATGTTTTATAAATTTACATGAAAACTGTTTTAAATCCCCGGTACATTTGGGAACTGATAGGAAGTTCAAAAAGTTCAAATACAAAATAGATGAGTCATTGTTGTTTTGTTCATTTCTGTTCACATAATCCACTGCTTTATATCACACTTGCAATATCAGATCTCTAAACCTTTACTTACCATCTGGTCCAAAACACTGCTGTATCCAAGATTTCCCAAACACCTGGTCTACCCTTTCTCCATGGCAAATCACCAACATGTCTCTCTGGTTTGTGGTTTGTGCTGACAACTGAAAGAAATTATTTTACAACTCTGCTTATTGAAATTATTGAAAGAATAGTAGTTCAGATGAACAAAAACAAATTCATATAGCAACTAAATTGATGAGATTTGATCAGCGTTTTTCAACCTTCACAACTTTATTGGTTGGGGAATTTGTGGAGTTGAAATTCCATGGTTGAAAAGTTACCAAGGTTGAAAAATACCGCATTTGATTGTACTTTCGGTTTTATATTTATGAAGCGAAGTTGTGACATTCAGAACAGTATGGATAATGTAGCATGTTTCATGAAGCAAAAAAAAATTGCTTGAATAAAATCTATCAATAATAGCTTTCTGTCTCAAGAAAAAAATGTCGTTATAAGAAGGTCATGAGTAGGATGTGATGTTTGGTTGTAGCCTCTGTGCTGGGGCATCTACAGCAAGCTACAAAGTGATGAAGTAAGCCTCATGGCTTTGCAATATTTGGTTGCAAAGGGCAACTATCCTTTGCTGCAGAACTTCTGTGGATACATTGAAGATTTAATTAATATGTCACATAGTTATTGAATATTTAAACATTCACTCACTATTATTAAACTGTTAAGAATACAGTCTAGGCTATCTTTTACAAAATGCCACCCACCCCCCCCCAAATATTAGATTAGATTACAGTATCCATCATTTTCAAACAAAGTGCTATGCTATGAAATGATGAGAATTAAAGGCAAATACCTCTGAAAAAGCACCAGATTGGAAAAGGTTGAACTTAGTCAATTAAGATACTTTCTCAAAAAAATTGCAGGAAGAATTTATTTATGTATATGCTATAGATTTACATAGAATGAAATCTTTAGGGTAACTTTTAAAAAAATTGATTGACTTTTGAAATTGCCCTTTGGCAATTTTGTTAATGTTACTCTTTCATCTAGAAATCCTGAAGTAAAATTTGAAAACTGGACAAATGTTTCCTGCATCTAAATGTTTAATACCTAAACTTGTCTTCCTCTTCATTCTCACACATATCCATAGATCAAGATCCCTGAATTTCAGTTTACCTGATGAGTAAGCAATTTGGCTAAATTCCTTGGCAATGGATTTGGAATCTTTGTTTTAAAGCAAGTTTTGATTTGGTTCTTAGGAAGTTGGCCTGCATCTGCAGATAAAATATATTCTCTGAAACATAAATAGCAAAGAACAAAACAGAAAACAGTGAGAAAATTTGGAATCACGTATATCTTTGAACTGAATGTAAGACAACACATCTCAGAAGAGTAATTTCCCTCATAAATGGAACACAGTGATCTTACCAAGAAATCTGAACCTATACAAGACTCTCTCCTGTGACTAAAGTGGGAAGTAGGAATTCTAGTACTCTCCAGATAATTACAATTTTCATAAACTCACTCAGTATAGTGAATGGTCTGTGATAATGGGAGTTGTATTTGAAAATAGCTTGGTGTTGACAATAGGGAATAAGTAGAAGGAGAATTATGGACTCAATGTGCTAATCAGTGAAACTGAACCATTTAGTGACAAAGGATAGAAAGTTCAGAAGCAATATAGTTCAGATAGCCAAGATGGCACCAACAACGGCTGCTTCGGTGGAATGCTCTCTAATGGTTTCTTTATTCTTTATTATTATATGCAATTCATTACAGATTTCATACTCACAAGACCATCTGCTAAGAATTAGGCAATGTTTCCTTAAGGAGCAGTTTTCTGATTCCTCACCACCACCCCTGTCTTTGCAAATGCGGAGGAGATTCTAACTAATTCCCCAGTGCTATGGATTACAACAAACAAAGGAGAAAAGCAGTAGTGTCGAAAAAGGAGATGAGGTAAACAAGCAGGAATTTTAAACAGACTAAGGAAAAGGGGAAAAAACCCTCTCTCCCTTCAATCTTTCTGACTAATTTACCCTCACTTGCTAACAAGATGGATGAAATACATCTCTTAAATAGATGAAATTCTGATTTCTACAATTCTGCAGTTCTTTGTTTTACTGAAACCAGGCTTAATCCACAAATTTATGGAGACAACACCATATACATCCCAAGATTTCAGACATTTAGATCAGACAGAATTGAAGAGACTTGAGGTAAAACAAAGGGTGGAGGATTATGTTTATATATCAACAACAGCTGGTCTCAGGATATAACTATAATATATAAATTCTGTGATGAAAACTTAGAGTCTTTACATATCAACTGCAAGCCATTTTATTCTCCATGTGAGTTCTCCTCATTTCTCCTAATAGCTGTGTATGTTCCTCCACAAGCTTGTGTAAACAAGGCATTACGAACTCTTGCTGATCAAATTATGGAGGCTGAAGCCAAACACGCAGATTCCCTTCCCAACATTTTGGGGGATTTCAATCAAGCAAATTTAAGGCAAGAGCTACCAAAATATTTCCAGCATGTAAATTGTCCCACCAGAGGCAAAAATACTTTAGACCACTGCTACAGAACAGTAAAAGATGCTTATAGGTCTTTACCACAAGCAGCTGTGCGACACTCTAACCACTGCATGATTCACCTTGTATCTGCCTACAGACAAAGACTTAAAACCATGAAACCAACAATTTAATCAGTGAGGACTTGGTCTAATGAGGCAAAGCTGAAGCTCCAAGCTTGCCTTGGTTGCACCGATTGGAATGTTTTTGAAGATACCTCTGCAGACCTAGATGAGCTCACAGATACTGTAACATCATATGTCAGCTTCTGCGAAGACTTATGTGTACCAACAAGGAACCTGCAAATATATAGTAACAATAAATCTTGGTTCACAGCTCAATTTAAGCAGCTATGTCATTCCAAAGAGGAAGCCTACAGAAAAGGTGACAGAATGCTATACAGTCAGGCCAGAAACATATTAACAAGAGAGATCAAAGCAGGAAAAAGAAGCTACTCTGAAAAGTTAAGGAATCAGTTCTCAACAAATGAACTAGCAAACATGGAAAACTCTTAAAAACATCACTGATTATAGCAAACCTTCCCAGGCAGAAGGAAATCAACAACTAGCAGATGACTTGAATGTGTTTTACTGCAGGTTTGAAAGGAAACTACAGCCACCTATCTTCACAACCCCCACCTCAAACACTCCAACAACAGCCAAGCTTTCTACAACTGGTCCCAACCCATTGGGTTCACAACCTCTGGTGATCACAGAAAAAGAAGTACAAGATCTATTACACAGACAAAAGCCAGGAAAAGCACCAGGGCCAGACAAAATAACTCCTTCTTGCTTACAAGTCTGTGCTGACCAATTGGCCCTCATCTTCACCTGAATCTTCAATAGACCACTAGAGATGTGCTATGTTCCTTCCAGCCTCAAACGCTCTACCATCATCCCAGTGCCAAAGAAGCCCTCCATCAAGGAACTGAATGACTACAGACCAGTTGCTCTAACATCTGTAGTTATGAAAATCTTTTAAAGGCTTGTGCTGTCCCACCTGAAACACATCCGCTGTTAGATCCCATGCAGTTTGCATACTGAGTAAATAGATTGACAGATGATGCTGTTAACATGGCTCTGCATTACATCCTACAACACCTTGAATCTCCAAATACCTATGCAAGGGTCCTCTTTGTAGACTTCAGTTCAGCATTCAATACCATCATTCCAGACATTATTCTAAGTAAATTAAACCAACTAGCGGTACCTGAACACACTTCTAAGTGGATAATAAGCTTCCTAACAGACAGGAAGCAGCAGGTGAAGCTAGGCAGAATGACATCTGATATCTGTACAATTAGCACAGCCCTCTCCCCAAGGCTGTGTGCTTTCTCCACTTCTCTTCTCCCTATGTACTAATGACTGTTCTGTCTCACCTGTAGCCACAAGGTGAAAGTCCAAATTTCCAAAGGAAAATACTCAAACAGACAGAAACAGAAACGACAGAGTTAACTTCCCTTGGCTGAATTTGTCCTTGGCAGTTTTCCCAGAAGCTGCCTACCAAGTCCGATAACGAGCAAAGCAATAAATCAGAAGTGACCATCACACAGAATAATTCATCCAAACTGCTAACTCCAAAAGACAATTTGACCCGAACAGGGATTCAGAGCTAACACGCCTCCTTATATTCCCTGAGGGGCATGTCAGTCTCTTTTCTTTTTACGTTGTATGTCACGTTTCTGCCTGCGTCTTAGCCTTGCATCAGACCAGCCTTTCTCGGCTTGATCTTCAGCTAATGACTCCGGCACGCTCTCCTGATTATCTGCCGACACCTGAGGCACAATCAGGGGGGAAGTTTCTGGAGAGGAAGACGACTCCGAAACTTCCAGCAAAGCAGGCTCAAATCTTAGAGCCAAGTCCTCCTCTTCCTTCTGACTCCCATTTATGTCACTCAACAAGGCAGTCTCAAACCTTAATGCCAGATCTTCCTCATCACTTGAGCCTATGTCTTCTGACAGAGCAGGTTCAAACCTCCGAGTCACAACAAATAACTGCATCTCAAATGATCCATCTGTTAAAATACTGAAGTTTGCTGATGACACAACAGTGATTGGTCTCATTCAAGACAATGATGAATCTGCATACAGACAGGAGGTTATACAATTTGCCTCATGATGTAACCGGAAGAATCTGCAACTGAACAAACTCAAAACCATAGAAATGATGGTACACTTTAGAAGAAACCCTCCCATACTACCACCTCTTACAATACTAAACAACACAGTATCAACAGTAGAGACCTTCAAATTTCTAGGTTCTGCTATATTACATGACCTAAAATGGACACCTAACATCAAAAAAGCACAACAAAGAATGTTCTTTCTGCGCCAACTCAGTAAGCTCAAACTGCCCAAGGAGCTGCTGATACAGTTCTACAGAGGAATTATTGAGTCTATCATCTGCACCTCTATAACTGTCTGGTTTGGTTCTGCAACCCAACAGGACAAACACAGACTTCAGAGGATAATTAGGACTGCAGAAAAAACAATTACTACCAACCTGCCTTCAATCAAGGACCTGTATAATGCACAAGTCAAAAAGAGGGCTGCGAAAATATTTACAAACCCATCACATCCCAGATATAAACTGTTTCAACTCCTTCCTTCAAAATGATGCCATAGAGCACTGCACACCAGAACAGCTAGACACAAGAAGAGTTTTTTCCCGAAAGCCATCACTCTGCTAAACAAATAATTTCCTCAACACTGTTCAACTGTTACAAACTCTGCAGTACTGTTACTGTTAATCTTCTCATCAGTCCTTATCATCCATCCCCTCCCACTTGTGGCTGTATGACTGTAACTTTGTCACTTGCATCCTTACAATTTATATTGACTGTTTCCTAGTATGATTTGATTGCTTATTGCACCCTATGACTATCATTAAATGTTGTACCTATGGTTCTTGATGAATGTATCTTTTCTTTTATGTATACAGAGAGTATTTGCACCAAGACAAATTCCTTTTGTGTCCAATCACACTTGGCCAATAAGGAATTCTATTCTATTCTATTCTATTCTATTCTATTCTATTCTATTCTATCAATATTCCATTTTCTTAATATTCCTTAGTGGTATAATTAAAACTGCATTTTATGCAGAGTAAACAACATATTTCCCCTTTAGAGCACATCTATCTATTTTGATGCTTTCTAGCATCTACAACCAAAAATGCCTCCATAGCTATTTTAAGCAAAAACCATTAAAAAACACACCCTTAGCTGTCAAAGACAAAGAAACAGTTGTACAAGGCAAGGATATCCCTTGTTTCCCCTATTATTCATACTGACACTGGAAGTATTAAATAGAAATGTCAGAAATACAGAGATAAAAGGTATGGAAATAAAAAATGGAAAAGTATAAATTACAATCATTTGCAGATGATTTAGTTTTTATTTTGGAGGATCCACAAGAAACAGGGCCCAGATTAATTTAAAAAAATAGAAGAGTATGACGAAGTGGCAGGATTAAAAATAAATAAAGAAAAATCTAAGATTTCAGTGAAAACCTTACAGATAAACAGAAAAAAATTAATGAAGAGAATAGATATTGAGTTTACTAAGAAAGTAAAATACTTAGAGATTCAACTGGCAGCAAGATGTGTAATGATTAAGGAAGATAACTATTATAAATTGATGCAATGAATTAAAACAGATCTGTAAAAATGGGAAAATCTGCAACTATCATTGATAGGAAGAATAGCTACAATTAAAATGAATA